CACGACTGAATAGAAACGGCAAATGACACGCATACATAGTGTTCAAAGCTCTTCGCCAGCTCTACCCATTTGCAGGATAGGCAGTCGCTGATGATTTAGCATGAATGAGATTCCTTTGAACAATGTTCTCTAAAAGCAAAGCTGATAACTCGCCAAGAAGTCGATCTCACGACCTACTGTTCGTCGGCCGGGCCGCTGCCACTGCACTATCTCGCTTCATAACTACGTTCAGAGAATCGTTCCGCAGATTTGGAGAGCAGATTCGAGATCAGCGTCCAAAAACACATCTAGTGGTGTATGTCTCGTTACAAATGGCCACTTCGACCTGGTATCCTTCCCTTGTTAGGTTTTCCAAGATGATTCTGACTATCAGCTCATGTCATGCGGTCACAGATCTCGTCAGAGCAATAGGTTCAGGACTGCTCGTGAGGAAGAAAGGATCCTATTCTCAAAAACCTCAGGGTTTCCCTTGCGGAGAATAACTGAAGACTCAGAAACATAGCAGAACAGCAAACTGCTCATAGTACACGAAATATCAAGAATTTCGAGGACTGGCGCGTGATACTATCGAATCAGCAGGAACAGCTTCAGAGGTCGGTAGAATCGCTTCAGACCATCACCTGCTAAAACAAAAATGCAGTTTAAGAGCGCCCTTGGTTGGACTATATTACTGAATATCCCTATTTGATTTAAGAGATATCCGATGGCGCACGCTGACCTACATACACTGCGACGCATAATAAATATAGTTCCACCTACAAATTTCCCAAAAACTTGAATCTGGGATGTTTTTGAAAAAGGCTCTACAGACAAATTGTGACACATATAAACGCGAATCTGAATATTAACACGGAAATCCAGTTTGAGAAAGCAACAATTTTTTATCCTCATTTTTTCGAAAATACCCGACTTGCCTATGACGCAAAATCATAGTTCCACCTCATGTTTCTCCGCTGCATTTTGCTTTTACCCAATCAAATTTTGAAATTATTACCCATTCAAGTTCCTTAGCTTATAGCAAAGGCAAAACCGCTGTCAGACTTCCGTAAAAGGGTAATGCTAGCGCAGAAGAGACGAAAGGGACGCAGGAATTGTCGAAGTGTTCGAAGAAAGTGGGCTCGTTTTTCTTTATGACCCCTTCTGACAAGAAAGTGTATTTCTTATTTTCCAGACATGGACTGTCACGAGCGTGTTGTAAAACACGTGAAACTGCTTCCATTGAGACACTAACTTTTGAAGAAGTTTTGATTTCCGTACCCGGCTGGATAAAGTTGTATTATTTTCTCACGATACGGCGCTCGGTCGGATGCTCCTCCCAGCATCATATCCTCCTCCCAGAATCATATCCTTCAGCATCCTTGAGAAACTTGTTCGTTATGAAGTCTCCCGGACAAATTTCAGCGGGAGCTGACACTTCAACAACTCTTGCGTCTCTTTTGCTAGGATTTTCGTTTTGCGGAGGTCTGGCAGCAGTTTTGCCTTTGCTATAAGCTAAGGAACTTGAATGGGTAATAATTTCAAAATTTGTTGGGTAAAAGCAAAATGCAGCAGAGAAACATGAGGTGGAACTATGATTTTGCGTCATAGGCAAGTCGGGTATTTTCGAAAAAATGAGGATAAAAAATTGTTGCTTTCTCAACCAGGATCCCAGTGTTCATATTCAGGTTTGCGCTTATATGTGTCACAAATTATCT